ATGTGTTTTAATGGATGTTTATATGCTTTCAATTTCAGTATGGAAATAACTCTACTTGTACTTCTATTGGAAGATAGTAGGATATGGTGAGCTACTGTAGTATTGTATTGATAACCTGAACCAAGCAATAAATGCACCATATGAACCTATGTGACTTCACTCACAGAATTGGTTTCTTTGCCTATCAGAATATTTCTTAATTTAGTTTTGCAATGTATTTTAGATATATTTGGGATATATTATTGCATCTGTTACATTATTTAATTATTAGTCTGCTCAGCATATACATATCCAGGAAAGATTATAATATATACAAAGTTGGCACTTTATGTAAGCACAAGAAAAGCTACCACGCAAGTAAAATAAAAGAACGATCTCACAGTTTAGCTACAAAGATGGTATTGCCACCCACATGCTCGGCAAAACGATACACAAATGTAAGAACTAAATAATAACAGACAGCATGTACTGTATACAAAGTAGAAATGTAATCACCCTATTGGTATGTTTTCAATGTTCACGAGAACTGTAAACCATTAGTGTAACACAAAGCAGTTGCTGGGGATATAATTGAGTTCACAGATACTGTCTAAACAAATAAACTGATGCTGTTAGGTCGGCAGGGACTGAGCAGTTCCACTTTCAGTGGGTAGTTTCTTCCAACACTGAGGAGCAAGGAAGGACAATGAATGGGCTCTGATGTGGGTGAATGGAGTTTGAGTACATTAGAGATGATGCAGAGCGAGCTGGAGAGGGTTTGAGGAAAGAGGAGGGATAGAAAACAGGCCATTTCAAAGTGACAAACGAGACTTTGTTTGTTCTTGCCTACCACTCGTTCTTTGCCCCAGTTGTGCTAGTTCTTTGCTACTGTAGCTTAGATTCAGATGTACTGCTTATCAATGTAGCCAGCAGAGGGAGTGAGGAAATGGGGTGAGAAAACCAGGAATAGAAAAGACAGATAGACAGGCAGATAGTGCTGACTAGAAAGCAGGACAAGGGGGTATTTACCACAGCGCAGACTAGTCTTTGCTCAGAATCCTTAATAACCAAGGTGGCGGATTCAGCAAATATTTACTCAAGGAGAAGAAGTGACATGTGCACAGCAGCGAAGACACGTGTTGGGAATAGGAGAGGAAGCAGCTGAGAAGTGACACTGACGTTCTTGGCAGAGGAGGGGGATAGGGTGGCAGCAGAGTGAAGAGGAAAAGAGATCAGCAAAGGGGAGGCAGAGGAAGGAGAGGAGCGGAAGTCAGATTTTGATTGGTTCCATTTGGGATGTGAGGGATTCCAGGTGGAAATGGCTAAGAAACAGGAAGAGATATATAAATAGACATAAGTATCCCAGAGGAAAGAGAGGAAGAACTGAGCATAAAAATGAACTGAAGAGCTGAAGGAGAAGGTGAGAGGAGTCTATGAGCAAGTGTAGAGAGTGGAAATAGCAGGGAGCCCACTGTGGTAGAGGCCTGTCTACATGTTTTGGGGATCCATGTTGGGGCACATAAAGACCAGTGAGTAAATTTTGAATCCAATGTAGGACATCTAGGAGTTCCAGTGACTTCAATCCTTCAAAGGAATGGACAAGTAGAGTGCATCCTCCTCACTTTTTAGCTCATCAGTGTGCAAGCTTGTATGCTGGTTATCTGGGTGAGTAATCTTGGCATAACCCTGGAGCACTGCAGGCCTGTAGACATGCCTTATAAGTGCATTGAAAGTAATGTGTTGAGAAATAAAAGCTTTGCTCCAGACCACATGATTCAAATGGAGTGAGATAAAAAGGCAATTGCGAATACATTTTGAGACTGAAACTTGCTCCTCCTAGATGAAGTACAGCTGAGCATTTTGCACCCATCAGAAGCAAGATCACTGCCTAGGGACTGGCCTTAAAATGTGCAGGAAAAGATCTCTGAAGTACTTTATAGCACGCAAATAAGGGCTTGTCTGAGCATCACCCCAACCAACAAGCTCACTATATTGTCCATTGCAAAGAGTGGGGAGCAGAAAGAACTGAACTCCGGCTCTTCAGGTTCAGTGTGTGGTGGGGGAGCTGGAGAAGCAAAAGCAGGGTTCTGCATCACTGCTCCCAGATGTAGAAGGATGTCATAGCCCCATTGACTAACCAGATTTCGTTGTTGTATGATCACAATGAAGCAACCATAAAGGAGCAGTGGGTTAATGGTGCAATAAGAACAGATACAATATTTGTGCAGACTCATGCAAAAATTTGTATAACCTGGAATGCTGTAAATTATGGGCAAGACTGATCTTTTTGTATTCAGATGAGGGGCTAGTGGTTAGTGGTTAGTGCTGCTATGTCACAGCTCTTGACTTCTGTATTTGTGTCTGAGCTGCCTGTCTGTGTAGACGTTACATGTACTCCCAACAATCATGTGATTTTTCACCAGGTGCTCTGGCTTTCACCCATAGTCTATTATGATGCGGTCTAGGCTGATTGACAACTCTAAATCAGTTTTTTTTTCCCAAAGGGAACCGCCCTTAAATTTAAGAAAAAACATAAGATTGTTTCAGTAAATTTACAGTAAATGGCAAGTATTAGTCACCTCTTCTTGTGGTTCACCCTCAACAAAGCCTTCTCACTTGAAATCCTGTTGTAAAATTCACATTGAAGTGAATGAGTGAATGGTGGTTTTCTATACTTTATATCCTGGGGATGCCAGTGTGTATGTCAAGACCACTAACCGGCCCAGACCAGCTTCCAAGAGGGCTAATCAGTTCCAGCAGCAGGGTGTTAATTACAAATTTCTCATCAGACGCCTTACCGTGCAGCAGGCTGCATTATTTAAGCTTCCCTTACCCGTGTATCGCTGCTCGGTATTGAGTTCTCTTCTTGTCGCTCTACCTAGCGTTCCTTTTCCTTTTGCCTTACTGGAATTTTTGACTTCACCTTTTGCCTTCGGACTTTGGTTCTCGTCTCGCCCCTTGGATTGCTTGCTACCTGTGACTATTTTCGGATTTCACCCTGCCGCTCTTGTTTCGACCTTGTACCTGTCTCTCGTTCTGGATAGTTGGCCACCAGTGCCTTTACCGGATCTTGACCTACTGTACCTTACGCCTTCGGACTACGACTCAGCTCCAGGTTTTGCTCTGTTCGCTTACTCGCCTCCCAAGGACTCCTGCATCTGCATCAGATCCTTTTTCACCACTACCTAGCTTCGGTACAGTGTATTCAAGACCTTGTTGGTTTTGGATTTACAGTATGTTTGCATTGCAAGCCACTTGTTTCATAGTAGTGGCAAGATATGCTTACATCCTCTACTACAGTAGAAACTTGCAGATGAATTATTCTGAGAATTCTTTTATAGCCTTCTTCCAATTTGTGGAGGTCAATGATCATTTCCCTGCAGTCTTTGAACAG